AGGTGCGGAGCGGGCAGAGAGGCCCCGAGCGAGGGAGCGGGGAGCAGCTCCGCGGGCTGGTGCCTTGGGCAACGGCCGAGCGAAAGCGCCTGTGGATCTTGGTTTTCCTGACTAGTTCTGTCGGTGTTATATGTCTCTCTTAAACGTTCTCGGCTGCGAGAATTTGTGGCCTAAAGCTATGTAAAAAAGTCCCAGAAACTTTTCGCTGGAGGGTGGCTATGCTTTCAGGTGAAGGAAGGGCTCACCTTTTGAGCCCTTGGTCTTTTTGCTAGTTTAAAATTACCCAGAGTAAAAAGTCGAGAATAAACTATGCAAACCTGGAATGGATTAGTCTGGCTTTTAACTCTTGAAACGGTGTCTGTCAAAACAAGTGGCAGTACGTTGTTCTTGTGGTTTTTTTATCTTTTTTTTTTTTTTAATGTTGTGTAAGCTCCGTTGAAAAGTGATTCCTCATCACCCATATTGTAGAGTTAAAAGTTTAGTTTAAAGGCTTCTGGGACGTGCTGAGATGAAGGCTGGAGTGAGTCCTCCAGGTCCAAACTTTCAGCCTTTCCCTGCAGCAGTCGGTTTGATTCGAGCTTGTCTATCTCCATCTACTGGCGGGAAATGAGGCCTTGGAATACTCACGGCTTCATGTTAGGCAGCTGTGAGCTGTGGAGATACAAGCATCATTGTAGGCTCTTGATACCGTAGAGGGGATGGCTTTTCCTTTGTGGAAAGGAAAGCGTATATTTCCTGCAAGAATTTAAGTAACAAAAGTGTGGAGTGTGAATGGTACTATATAAATGTTCCAGTTGCTGAGAAAACAGTATTAAATGGCATAGATAAAATTCTTGACTTGTGAAAGGACCTGTTGTATATTTTCACTTTTTATATGTATGTATTATCATTTTTTTAATTTATTTTTGCAAAAATAGGTGCAACCATGCAAGAAAGCATACATTTTGCTTCATCAGGGGATGACGTTAAGATATGGGATTCTTCATCTCTGACTGTGGTGGAGCAGTTCAACCCACATACACCCCCACACCCTGTCAGCTCACTGTGTTGGGCCAGCAATAGTATCCTTTACTGTTTCAGCCATAGTTTTGTGGGTGTTCTACAAAATTTAAGTGAAATTATTTTTATTGAAGTGTTTGTAAATCTCAGGCCTGATGCAGTTTTGAAGTCTTTCCTAAAAGATTTGTATATATTATGAAGAAAATGTTGTGGTTCTCTGTGTTCAAGTGATTTACAAAATAAACTCATGCTGGTAAATGCTTCTGAAGAAGTTTCCCTTCCTTTAGGAGGCTAACACTTTTTTAATGATTATGATATGCTTGGATTGCCTGCCAGCCGCGAAGCTTTCTCATTTGTTTCTTCAACAGTTGATTACAATATTCACTTTCAAGGCAGTGCTTAATTTACTGATAAGGTTAAATAAAGCAATTGCTAGTGCAGTAAAATTCTGTACATAGTGTAGAGAGGAAAATTGCAATGAAAGATTTTGTTCAGTTTTCTTTTTTTCCTTGAACAGCTTCTCATTGATTCTGATAGTGTTTGATAGTCTACACTTACCTCTTACTCTGTAGACACGGGTTTTCTTTATACTGTTCGCAGTATTTACAGAGGAAGCACAAATGTGTTGGATGTGTAGGAAAACATCCACAAGATGGTGGCGATTTATGCATGAAAAAGGATCTGGCCCATTTCGACATTCCACCTCTGTCTTGGAAGCCTGTTAAGGGATAATAATATGAGGTGGCAGGTGTTAGGTGAATGTATGAGAAATTTCATGAGAACAGGGTGCTGTCAGGTGAATGAACAGCTTGTATGGCTGTCACGTGAAAAGGCGGCGATGTCTGATCTTGATGTAAAAGAGAGACAGGATGCTGGCATATAACAATGAAGTCCTGCAAATTCTGAATGTCTGTCCTCCAAGTCTGCAAATAAGTGGATGTACAAGAAAAAAGTTCATCAGAGCACAAATGAATGTTTTAGCTATGGAGCTTGCAGAGAAATTGAAGCTTAGAGATAAATATATATATATCCACACATATATGTGATTGGTAAACTTTAGCTATGGACAGTCTGTCTTGTCATGCTTTCTTCTGCCTAGTCTGTTCTTCATCCCCCAAAAGTGAAACAGTGAAGTATCTTGCTCTATATGCTTTTGAGTGTTTGTTAATTTGTTAGGGGTAGAGCTTTGGTTTTGGTTCTGCATAATGCTGTAAGCTAAAACAGTGCCTTGAAATAATGAAAGAAATAGCAAGCACTAATCTGCTTAGCAGTTCTTTGCTGTTAAATCCAGCCAATTAACCTGTATTAAATAAGCAAATATGAAATCACAACAGGCATTGGCCTAAAGTCATTCAGGACATGGATCTAAATGATTACTGGACTCATTTGGTGGGGGTATAGAGGTGGTTTCCCTGCTCTGTAGTTCTATACTGAAGGCTTTTCTTAATACTTTGAGGTACTTGGTGTCATAAAAGGTTCTTTTTGGGTTTTTGTTTTTCTTCCCTCAGTATAGGGAGAGACAAATTAAAAAACATTCTTTGTGCCCTAGAAACTGTGTGGTGAAGTGGTTTAACATTTGTCACAAACGGGACTTTTCTTTAAATCCCGTCTGCTAACAGCAACATTCCATTGAACTCTAGTGATAAATGGGGCTTTTCCTTGGGGGTGATAGGGAAACAAAACTGTAGACCGGATAAGCTGCCTTAGTGGTAAAGAGCTTGTAAATAATATCTGATGGATATTTCTTCTCTCCTCTCTGAAAGAAATTGCTCTGCTTTGTCTTGGGAAGTAAGGGCTGTAGTTAATGCAAGAGCTTCTTAATGAAAGCTTGGGAAATAGCCTTATGTTTCTATTTCTAGGTCCCTTCAAGGTGCAGTACTTTGGACTGTTTAGCCAACCTGTCTTCTGTTCAGTAAGGGACACTTCTGTTGAGTTTATTAATCACCATTATAATACAGTTATGGTCCATAACTTGTGACTAAGATAGATACCTGGCCACTGCTTCTGCTGCTGGTGATAAAATAGTTGTTTCAAGCTGTAAAAGCAAACCTGTTCCACTCTTTGAAATAGCTGAAGGAGTAAGTATGAGTAATGTTGTTCCCTGTGTCTGTCCCCCCCCGCCCCCTTTGCCCCACTCCACCTTGTGTACTATTTGTATCACATCTGTTCTGCATATTGGGATCAATTTAATTTTAGTATTGTTAGAGTTATGACATGGATGTAAAAACATTTCCTCATTTAACTATAGTTAAATACATACAAAGAGTGGGGGGAATAATGCTTCTAAAATAGTTCTACTGCTGAGTACAAATGCAGTTATAGTAGCTGATAGCTCTCTGCTAGGGGAATTTGTTGAGCCTCAGTGTGATAGCCCGAGGCAGGCAGTGGTTCAAACTTGATCTGATGTGTTGGCGACAGAGCTCAAGTTTGAACTTCATTTTCCAACTTGAATTGTCAGTATTATGCGTGCCTGTGAATTGTACATTGAAAAACATAAGTCTCTATAAAGGCTGTTCTTGGAGTGTATGTGTGCTAGCTTCTGGAAACAGTTGAAATAGAAGAACTCCTGTTATGGCTGGGGGTTTTTCTTTGTTATTTAATTGGAACCTGACACCAGCTTCAGAAAGCTGGACTTAGTTTTGGAAGAGTCTCTTGACATGGTTACTTGAATGACTTGCTAGTGTTCTAAACCATCCTAATTGTTCTCCTTGGATAGCTATTGTAATGCTGATTTGGACAGGAGATTTTCTGAGAAGGTGTTCAAACCAGGCTTTTAGGTTGATGAAGCAAACTCTTTCAAAAGGTGGAGTGTTTGTCCTGGAGATTTCACTGAAACTAATGCAATAATTTCTAGTTTTACCATGTCAATAATTAGATGGACTTGTTTTTTCTTCGTTCAAATCTCAGGAACTTAAAAGTGAATTTTCAACAGGATAGAACTGAATAATAATTTGTCCTCGATGAAGCTCTATCATTAGGATTGACATTTTTTTCAGAAGCTGGTGCTTCAGTGATTATTTGAAAAAGAATCACTTTACCGAATTATGAGGTTTGCTGCTATAATATTCTTTGTAATGTTTAGGGAATGTGAAGTACATGACTTTAACAACTTTTGATTTTCTTTTCTTTCTTTTTCTTTTAAGGAGATTTTTCCTAAACTTAGCGTTTTCTTTTTAAAACTTAGTACCTGAATAGAAGTCCATGATTGCACTTTAGGGAGCCATAATTTAGAGGGGAAAATGCATATTGAAGGAAAAGGTGCTAAAAAAAAATTGAAATGGGAATGGGAGAATGTGAGCATTTGAGAGTTTATTAATTAATGTATTTAGATCTTAAGGTATGTTAAATGTATGTCCAATCTGGATTTTAAATGCCTTTTGATGGGAAGTTACTGTAGTGTACCAATAGTTCCATCAGTCAGTGGGACTATTTGTGTTAATGAAAATTAAAACATATCAATGCGTTTTTTAAGTAGATTAGAATAAATCCCTTAGTTCTCTTTAACGCACTTTATTTTTGCTTTTCCATCAGGCAAAACAAACATGTGTGAGCTTGAATTCTAGTTCTTCCTGTATTGTGAGTGGAGGCCTTGATAACACTGTTAATATCTGGGATCTGAAATCCAGAAAGCTTTACCGGAGCCTTAAGGTAAGTTTGGCTGAGGAAGAACTGTAGCTTTCATGACTTCCAGGTTTTGCTGCCAGCTGTAAAAAAAAATACACTTTCTCTAAGTCATGTGTCTGTAGGATCAAGTTGAAAGAGAGGAGCTAGCACACATCCTGTGTCTTGTTGAAGTTTGTGTTCTTTATGTGTTGTAAATAGCAAATTGTATTTAACAAGCATTCTTAACTTGATGTCTTCTCTCTCTATGGTTGTCTTATTGTGTATAATTACAGCATAATCTTTACTAATTTATTAAAACAATCTTCTGAAAATAATCAGACAGTGGTTAAAATATAATGGCTGATCTTCAGTATGTTCTGCTGCTGTTTGCTGGAATATTCCACAATAACTCTTAAATAATCTTTTTAAATGTTACAGACAGTCAGAAAAAAAAATGAAGCTGAAGTTTTTCTACACAAGCACAGATTAGGAGGGAATATGGTTATCCTGAATGTCTTTAAGCCTCTGTCTCTAACCTCCCTCCCCCACAGGATCATAAAGATGAAGTCACATCTGTTACATATAATTGGAATGATTGCTACATTGCTTCTGGATCTTTGAGTGGTGAAATTATCCTACACAGTGTTACCACCAATTTATCAAGTACTCCCTTTGGTTATGGCAGCCGTCAGGTAGGTTATCTGTATTAAGCTCCTTTCAGTTTCTAAACACAGACAATTAGAGCTTCTGACCTGAAAGTACATATCAAGGGCTTTCAAGTTTTGTTAATCTGTTTCCTTTTAATTTTTAAGAGTGCATTTATGGAAAGGAAAAAACCAGACCATTGTGTGTATTCTAGTCTTCAATAATAGGTAACATTGAAATAAAAGTTTCTCAAGTAGCTTTATTTATATACAGGTTACAGCAAATTTTACTTTGTAGACTGGTTCCTCAGGAACAAACTTCTACACATCTTAGAACTGAAAAAAACCCAGTTGGCTTTACAAACCAAAGCAAGTTTTCAATGCACGGTGCAACGTATATTGTTGCAAGGAACAAAGACCACCTAGCCTGAGTTCTGACTTGTCCAAAGTAATCAGATTTACAACTGAACAGAGCCACCTGTACAGTAGGGGTGAATATAAGCCTGCATTTGGAAATAATAAATATATTTAAACTGGAGATTAAAATTGCACAGCTGCTCAAAGAGAAAAGTGATGAGATTGTTATATTGCCTACCTAGGTGTTTAGCAAAGATTTCAGGTAACTAGTTTGAAGGAAAACTGTGCAAAAGGCAAACACAAAGCATGTGTACTACTTAAGGGCCTTGGTAGGGTTTTCTACTGAAATTCCTTTTTGCAGACTCAAAAGATATTGGCGAATTAGCAGGTATCATTAGGGGAATCCCCTTGATATAAGGGTATCTGCCTGTAGTAAATGAGCTGTGGTGTGTCCCATCAGAAGTTCCAGTGTGCGTTCTTAGTGTGAATGTCGTCGTAGGCACAGCCAAGTGTTTGTGTTCTAAGAATTATTTTATTTTTTTTACTGAGACATTTTTACAGAGGTAGGAGCTGCCTAGGGGATGCAGAACTATTGCTGTGGTCCTGAACCTGACCTTTAATGGTGCAGGGAATACTGAAGTTGTGACTGAATAATTTTTTGTTACTGCAACAGCTTTTTCAGTCCTAGATTGCAGATAGAGTGTGAAGTTAAGTGTTGCTCCTGTCTAGCATGAACAATATAACTTGATGAAGAATCTTTTACAACTTTATACCATCACGGGAATTGTGGTATACTTTCTGTTGAAAAATCTCCATTAAATTCAAACTATCTCTGCTCTGAGGTGCTGCATTGTCTTTGATCCATCACCATAGTCTCATACGTATATTGAAGCAAAATTGTACTTCATACTTGGTTTGATCTTAAAAATCCATCTATATAGTGAGTTCATTTTTCTGATTTGATTGTTATGATCTTATGAAAAATGTGGATGTGAGGCAGGAGCTAGAGGGATATCTATGGCTGGATTACACAGCTGAGGTGAATATCCAGAGCAGGGACTATGTTGATAGTTAATTGGAAAATGAACAAATTCTTATGAGGATGATTTTGCATCAACCTGTTTGATATATTCAATTCTTTCCACCAAAAAGTGGTTAGGAAGAAGTGATGCCGTGAATAGCTATTTTGGCAGATGAAATCAAGAGGCTCACTGCAAAGCTGAGTGACCCTTAGGACAAATAAAGATATTCGAAGTGTTAAATCAAAGCAATTGCAAGCACAGAGCTACTATTCACTTTCTAAAGGGTCTGTAACATTTTCTAAAAGGGGGCAGTTATTTGATTGCAGCCTTAATTTAAAATTGAATCGAGCTGTAATTGTGTAATGGTTTAGCTACTTGGATGTCCCAGTTTATTAGCTTATCTCCTAAAAATAATCTTTGCTCTTATGTGCAAAATTAGGTTTAATTTTGGTTTTGGGTTTTCATTGGTACTTGTAGAGAACTGCAGGATTAATTGTGCAGTGAAGCAAATATCTGAAGATTTGTGTAATTCTGTTAAATTTAAAAGGTCTTTACTTGATTTATAGTTTATGGGCTAAATTTTCTAAGAGTAGACTTGAATAGATACACAGTGTATTGTCCTGCTTGTTCCTGGCACTAGCTGTCTGGCTTAGTAAGGGTCACCACTCCCCAGTAACTTTCTTTACAATTGGGGAATGGGAGGTCAAACTAACCTTATAAAATTTAGCTTGTCTCTGTTTGATTCAGTATGATGGAATGTAGTTTCCTTGCCAGTTAATTTCTGATGTTATATAGACCCTACAAGTCGTGGAATAGTCCAAGGTTGCAGACTTTCTGTGACTTTAAACAGTTTGCTTTTCATATGAATATTGGCCTGTATTCTGTTAACTGATTTTGATTTAGAAACACCTATGTGCTTTATTAGAGTTGAGTTCTTGCACAGAGTTGTTTGCAGATCCCATAATTTGTCTTTACCATTGGTATTCATTTAGACTACCAGGTTCTTATCTGCTTGCTGTTGGGAGGATGATTTAAGGATTGTTTTGAAACCTTGTGTTTGTTCAAGTCTTCACTGCCTGGTGCTGTTCTCCTAGCAACAGGATTTAGTTTAGTTGTTTGAACAGCTGGCTGATTTGTAAAGAAGTGTCATGAGTTCTGGTCACTCCACATAGTGAAATCACTTTAAAGCTGAAGACTATCAACTGTGTTTACATCTGCCTCCCCACTTGTAAGGCTCATGGAGGTATAAAGGAGATTAAGAAACTGTACTATCTTAAATAAGGTAATCAATGATGCTAGACTACTTTTGGTTTAGTTTTGGGCTTTTCACTTGTTTTCCAGCAGTGAAAAACCCTAAGTATAACTAGTCCTTCTTAGCAACAGACCAACCATTTTCTGAAGTACATTGTTCCTTATTTGTCTGCCTTACTGTGAAGCTTAAAGATAAAATGTGCTTTTATTTTCTATGGAAAATCTGTTCCAATCACAGCTAAGGCAAAATGATGTATATGGCTTTTTGTGCTACATTGGCTGGTAAAATGTTCCAAAGAGGACTTTATTTTCAATCTGTGGGTTCAGCACCTTGTGCTACATGTGTTTTGGTAGTTCTGTGTGTGCAGAATTGCTAGAGATACCAGGAGTTGTACTTACTAAGGTGTAATGAAACTTGTTTCTTTTGTTTCAGTCTTGATAAGTTAGTTCCAAAACATGGCTCTTTGCAAATAATTGTGTCATTCCTAATAATCTTGAAATGTTTTTAGTATTAGTGACTAAAATAATTAGAAAACAGATGACCTCTGCCCACTTCCCTTCAGACATTTACTTAAACATATTTGAGTTTCACCTAGTGAACAGATATGCTGACTTAAAATAATGCAAGTATCTTAAATATCCCCTTAACTCCAATTCAATAAGATGTTTAAGCTTGCCTAGTCAGATTTTTCCTAATGAAACATGTCCCACATCTTTGCCATTTGATTCTGTGGATAAAAGTGTAATCTGTAAACATTCTCAGGCTTCTTTTCAGAAAAGTAACAATGTTTAACTTGTCTCCCACATCCTTAGCTATTTTTTTTTCCTTTTAACTATTAAACCTTGCCGTCAAGCCATATGAGTTGTGTGCCCTTTTTTCAACTTGGGATTCTTACTGCTGGCAGTACAAAGGCCAAGGAACTGTACAGGGGCTGTTTTCAGCTACACTGAGTTGGAGGCCCTAGTGTTCAAAATATGAGTTACAGAACTCTTGTTTCTAAACCATAACTTAAGAAAAGGGACAGGAGAATACAAATGAAGTTCAGCTTCTTCAGGAAAAACTTGACTAGGAGTGTACTAAACTTCTGTGTGACTTCATCATGCCAAACAAAAATCAACATTTTTTTAAAAAGACTATTTGGTGAAGACTCTGACTACGTGTTAGTTTCTTGTCACTAAGATAGACGAAAACATTAAAAAGTATAAGAACTAAGGTAAAGAAACATTGAAATTAAAAATAGATGATAGAATCTGATCTAGAATAGTACGTGTGACAGCTCAAAGTTTAGAGAATTAAGACTGGCAGAGGTACAGAGAGGTTAGAAGTAGGGAAGAAGTCTGGTAAAGAGAAAGGAAAGGAACTAAATAAAATAGAAAGACTCTTCTTAAATAACATTTAACATAAAAGGATACACAGTTAAACAATAATGTTAAATTCCATTACATAAAAGGTAACGTTTTCTCTGTGAACACACAGTTGGTCATGGTGATTTTAGATTTTAGCATCATCCTTGGCAATAAATAGAATCAGAGGGAAAAGGCTGGAAAGGTAACTTGAGTGTTACAACAAAAGGAATATTATAAATGAGGTAAGTTTTGGTTTTAACTATTTGGAAGAGACTTATGGCTAGCATTAGATTATGCTGGATCTGTCTCCTGTAGTGAGTGGGGAGGTGTCCCTTTTACCTTTTTAGAACTTCAGTGTCAAACACTTTCATGCACGTGGTGTAAGAATATATAGCTGTGATGGGTTTGCCCTTGGCTGGGGGCCAACCCATACACACCTGCTCACTCAATCCTCACCTCCCCCTACCCCCCCCCACCCCTGAAGACACGGGAGAGAATTAGAGGTGTGAAGGGAAAAAAGGACTTGTGGGTTGAGATAGGAACAATTTAATAACTAAACTACAATAATATTGAAAAATAATAGTATATACGAATGAATGATACACAGTGATACTGTCCCCCGACCCGATAGCCAAGGCTCAGCCTGTTCCCAGCTAATGATCCCGGAGCAGGGAGAGTCCCAAAACCGCACTCACAGAACACAGATAACAGTCCGAGTGTCCCAGACCGAGAGCTGACTGGGGTGGTGGGGGGGGGAGGCCTTGGGAGAAGGACCACCTGGAGCGAAATGGCCCAGAGCAAAAGAGAGCCAGAACCTAAAGGGCCGATCTTCCGGAGGGTCCTCACCTCGTCATACTGGGCATGATGTGTATGTTATGGAATAGATTATTGGCCACTCTGGGTCTCAATCCTGAACCTAAGATCAAATCCTGGGCTAGTAACTGGGGCTGTGCTCCCTCCCAGCTTCTCCGGTCTGCAGACAGCCAGAGGAACTGAAAGACCTTGGCAGCCATGTAAACATCACTTCTTATCAGCTTTCTTCTGAGCACAAATCCAAAACACAGCCTCTTGCTAGCTATTATGAAGAAAGTTAACTCTGTCTCAGCTTAACCCAGGACGTTCTCCACCCCTTATTCCATACCATTCATGTCACTATTTTCCCTTAATCTGTGGACGGCCCCTCCATAACTTTATTGTGTTCATTTACTCCATGACTTTGGGCTCAAATATCTGATCAAGTATAGAAGTTCATCTTTTCCTGTACAATGAGGCCCATTCTCCTGCAGCACTGAGTCACAGAAAAGATGTTTTCCTGTGTATAGTCAGCTTTCGTAGTGGCTGTGTGTGTATTTTAACTTCACTCCAGTGAACACTGGATAGCATGTTGGTTTTTTGTTTGTTTTGTTATAAAATTCATGTAGAGTTGAGTCAATATTTTAAAGATGAAGACAGAAGGCTACTTCATGAAGCCTATTTTTATCCTAAAATACAGTTTCTGATTTACTCTTTGCTTATGGATAGAATGGGAAATGAGGAAAATTTAGCTAGTGCTAAGCTTAAAGCTGTATTTTTTCACCCGGATGTTTCTCAAAGTATTTTTTAAAGAAAACTTCAAATTAAGTGACTCATTTCTGGGAGGAGAAATGTTTTGGTTTTGTCTTGTCAAGCAGCCTTTCGGAAATGAGGTTCTTTCATGCCTCCAGCTGTCTGGGAAGGAGTTTGAAACTTGGACATGTAGCGTACTGTCAAGGATGCCAATTTGATGCATTTGACTGTCTCATAAAGGTGTGCAAAAATTTTAGTGCCTCTGTTCTTTGAGTCTGATCTAGCAATTGCATTGCTGCAAGTGAAGTTTGTTGCTAACCTGATTCAGTGAACGTGAGGAGTGAATAGGAGCTTCCTCACACCTCCTTCATTGTCAATTTGAAATTAGACTGTTAAGCTGCTCTGAGGAAACACCATGACTTCAATGAGAAGTGAGGAACAGAGGTAATATGGGGGAGATATGAATATGAAAAAAAATGAGAACTTGGCTTGGGCCTCTTTGATTAGAAGGAAGAATGAGAAAAGAAAATGGGAGGCTTGGTAGGGTACCAAGAGAGGTTTGAGGAGAGCTAGGAAAGAGTAATCTTGGTGGGCAGGACAGAGGAGGGAGAAAAAGGAACGTGAGCAGATGTCAGGGCAGTAAGGAAGGTAATTGGGGGTGAAAAAGTGACAGAACTACGAGAGACAGGCATGTTTCCCATGTAGATTGTGTACGTAATTGAAGCTGTTATTCCTGAGTGTCTCAATATTTCTTTTTTAAATGTAAATAAACTGAAAAATGCTGATAAAAATGTCCCCATCATGTCCAGTAGAGGACCATATTATAAACAGTCATTTTTGGTCCTATTTGAATATACAGTTGAGGGTGCCACTTCCTTGTGGAGCAATTAGGCCCCCAGTGAGACATGCAATACAAGTGCTAGCAATTATGTTGGAGGCATATGAACCAAGAAATATCTCCATTAAAATGAAATTAAAGAGAGAAATGGATAAAGTCCAGTACAGCGCATTGCGATGTGGATTATATTAGAATAATATAACAGCTTTTTGAGAGCATTTTCAGACAAACAAAATGTAATGGCTCTCATCTGTCTGGACTTGAGTAAAGCACTTGTTTCAGTGCCTTGTGAGAAAATATTAGAGGATGGAGGTTTAGAAAGGAATTGAGGGGTGAGAAATTGGCTTTAGGAAAGAAGGCAGTAGGTCATGTTGAAAGAACAATATTTGTGTGGGTTATCAATAGCTAATCTTGTTTAGTATTTTCAGTAATGGTTATGATACAAGAAGTAGAGCTATGGTGAGACACATTTGAAGGTATTGCCTGTAACAGAGAGGATTGTGACAGTATCTAAAAATTCTTGAAATAGCAACTTTGACAGTATAGAAATCGAGGTACCAGACTTGGGTCACAACTGAGGCTTTTTGTGTTGGACTGGGATTTGAAAATTCTCAAGGGAAAGAAAGACTTGGGCTTCTTGATCATAAAATGGCAATGAACAACCAAAACAGACTGGATCACAGAAAATAAATTTCAGCGTAGGATATATCAGGATGAGTATTTACAGTGCAAAACAGAGGAAGCATTGCTGCCTTTGTAAAGACAGTAGCAAAATGTTTTGAGGGTCATAAAGATTTTGGATGTCCATATTCAAGAAAGACTAAAACTGTTGTAAAGAGACTGTGATGGTAATGAAAAATTAGTCTTGGGAGACTGAGTCTCACTTATTGTTTATATCAAAATAAAGCCTGAAAGAAGGTGAAGTGGCTGTTTATTAAAACAGGGGAAAGCAGCACTGGGGAGTTAGGGAAACAATCTAAGTATAAGGGCATTATTGTCACAAGAGTGAATTGGTGCAAATGGGACATAAATAAAATTAATCTGGAAATTGAGTATTGTAATTTCGTGTTAGAGCAGTGAGATTCTGAAAGATTCTCTGAAGCAATATGGTGGAAACAAAATACTTATCTGCTTATGAAAGGCAATTTAAGTTCCTGTATTACATGGTTCTGTGATAGCAAGGCTGCATGTGATAAACCAGGCATATTATCCTCTAGTGTAGTCCTGGCTCACAGGGTGAAGTCTGTTCTGCAGGACCTACATACTTGCATAACTCTGAAGTCTATGTGTCTTATCAAATTGGCTTATATACAGGTACTTAAAATCAACAAAGGGGAGTTAAGTTTAACATTCTTAGCAGGAGACCAATCAGTGAAATAATGTAGCTTTTCACTTGTTTAATTTTAGGTGTGGGGTTTTTTGTGGTGTATGATGGCATGGTATTTGCTGAAAAATCAATAAATGTTTCCAGAAGTTTTATTTTATTCTTTTCCCCTTGTTCTTAATTTTGATGATCAGCTTGTATGGTACCCCCTACCAAAACAAAACAAAACAAAAGTCTGCCTCAACAGCAAAAATGGAATTGTAATGTGAAATGAATAGGTTTATAAATTATTTTTAAGAGCAGACAGCCTTTGTAAACTACTTCAACTTAACGTAAGATATGTATTCCTAATGTGTTTGCATGTTCATAAAGTAATTTAATATGGTGTTTAATAGTGGTATTACAGTTCATTTTTTATGTCTGTTTTGCAGCCTGTTCGACACTTGAAATATTCATCCTTTAAGAAATCCTTGCTGGGTAGTGTTTCTGACAGTGGAAATGTAACACTGTGGGATGTAAATAACCAGAAGCCGTATCATAATTTTGAAAATACTCATAAAGCACCCGCTTCGGAAATTTGCTTTTCTCCAGTCAATAAGCTGCTGCTTGTAACTGTAGGTTTGGATAAAAGAATTATTCTCTATGACACTTCAAGTAAAAAGTGAGTAGATTAAGGACCTTTTATTTTATAGGTTCTTTGGTCTATTTTATAGGTTTATTTGGTCTTTTATAAACTGAAAAGACATGCCTAACTCTGACATGAAATATTTAATTCAGACCACATTTAAAGTGGGTGAAGCGGTTGGCGTATCACTGCTGGATAATGTGTTCCATAGGCCTTTTTGATTTTTTATTTAAAAAACCAAACAAACAAAACCCCCAAACAAACAATCAAAAAAACCCCACGGAACTAATTGAGGTGCTACATAGGAGTGTGACCTCTCCCAAGTGCTCTTGTATGGGCTTTTCTTGTTGATACTGAGCAGTTAACTTCTGTGAGGAGCAGTAAAGCCTGGGAGGACCTACAGCCACCCGAGCTTAGCTTGCCTGCTTTTCTAGTTCAAGATACAAGACATAGCTGTGGTAAGGTGCACAGAGTTGCTGAGATAGTGAGCTGTAAGTATGGGAGGGTATTGGTTGAAAAAGCAGGGAATATGGGGCATAGCTGATAGGGCTGTGTGGTAAAAGGGTGGGATGGCAAGTATTTTCATGGGACTTTGGTTCTAGTGTGGGTTTTGCTTTCACTCTAGCTGAGTAAAAGTAGAAGTCTGTCTCTAGTTCGGAGGGCGTGTAGTAGAAGGATGCAAAATAGGACCTGAAGTTCTTCCTAGAGTTGTTGGAAGGCTAGAGGTGATAGTCTTGGGAAGCTAGAGGATGTATCTAGTATGATTGCTGCTGGAAATGATGATACCAGTAAATAATTCAGGTGTCAGAACTGCTGTTATA